ATAAAGATTTTTAATAAAGAGTTGGACTTGCACCATATATGCTTATTCTGCAAATAAAGCTGGAGGCTAAACACAGATTCACAGCTCCAGTGAACAGGTGCTAGATTTGTTAGCTGCAGTTCTGTCTAATTCTTAATTTAACTAAAGAGCTGTGTGTGTTATGCTAAGAGTTCAGATACTCTGGATAACAGCTGGAAGAACTTCTTGTTCTTCAACGTAGGTAGCTTTAGTCATCTCAGTCACACAAGGTGAAATTCACTCCACCACATGACATCCAAATATTCAGGCTTTATGTCAGTGGAGTCCATGGAAGGTGGAGTCCATGTAGTCCAAATTCACCTCTAAATCCAGGAGTGCAAGGCTGCTAAAGCAGTTCCCCATGGCTGCTGCTGCTGCTGCAACCAATCCACAGTGATTGTGACAGGGTCGCAGTCTCTGTTGCCCCTTCCCTGGCTTGCTATCAGACCAACCCCATCTGTCCCTAAAAGAGATGTCTGCACCTGTCTTTACAGGGCCAATGCAGAGACTATTTGCTTGGTGTGTGCAGGCACCTCTGCACAGGCTCACAACTGGCAATCCCCATAGTTAGTCCTAGTGCAGGGTTTATGTGATGCAGAGGGTCTTATGAAGGCCCTCCAAACTAGGAGTGAATTTCACCCATAAGCAGCAATATTACTACTTACAAAGCTGTTGGGCAACACACAGTGTTACCATGACCCATTTTAATGTATTACCAGGAATAAAAATGTAGATCTTTCTTAGAATCTAATAACTTGAAAATTATTTGCTAAGGAAAGACATTTGCTATTTGCATCAATAGTTACAAAGGCAAGGAGCTGTACGGTTAAGTTTTACTTCCTGTAGTAAAGGATTCAGTATACACCATATGACCTCCATAGTCAGAAGTCAAACTTCTTTGTGACCATTTCCCCTTGGGCACTGAAAAACTTGGAAACCTGACAAGCGGAACATATTGGCCCAGAGTCTCCCCTACATTTCAGCTGTTTTGCAATGCACCAATGGTGCAAAAATCACTCTAAAGCTGGCACAGCCTGTATTGGAAGGATCACCCCAGTGGCGGGGATCCTTGAGCAGCTTAGGGCAGCTGTACCCTATTCCAACACCCTCCTTATGGCTGGCATAGGAACATGGCCAAGGGAGAGGCCAGACTCTTCTGCATCCCACTGATTCTCCATTTCTGTAATAGCCCCTTTGTGGCCACTGGTTATTAGCATAAGTTAGAGAAGTCCTAAGGCTGCTCTAATGTACACAGATGCCAGCCCAGTGCATGGCTGACCCAGCATCAGCAGATCACAAAGGTGGTTTAAAGACCTAGTAGGCCAAGTTCTTAGAACAGGGCTACTGTGTGGTGTGCAGCACGTTGCAAATTCAGATCCTAAAGATGAACAGAACTCTCATTACCTATCAGATTATATTTTCACTTTCTTATTCCCTTCTCCTTATCCCCTTCCTAAGGATCTGTTACTCCCCCCGTTATTTTTGTTTAATTTTAGATTTTAAACTCTTCAGGGCAGAGACACAGTCTCTCCATAACTCTGTGTATATCTGCACAACAATAACAGCAGCTACCATCACCTAAATAGATGTTAGCTTCACTTCTGCTAGGCTGAAAGGGACTTACACTTCTCATATTCCTATCAGCACAAAGCTCTGCAGTCTGGCCAGCAGGCTTATGTAACAGTGATGCATCTGGCTTTCTACCCCAAATAAGAAGTATGCAGGAGTATTCTGATACTACTGCAATAAAACTGGGTCCCTGCTCATCTATACCTTCATCTCCTGGGTCTTTAGTTCAGTGGGAACCACTGAAACCACAACATTCAATACGCCAAGTACTTGCAGTAACTATGGTAACATCTGATACTTACAACAGGAAATAGAGTTGTTGCCATGTGGCAAATACTGCATTTTTATTGATGTCAGCTGAACTGACTATAGTTTTTCTTCTGGACTGTGAAAATTTCAGGACACTGCAGTGTTTTACTTTATGTTTGTACAGTTCCCAGCACAAATTGGAGAGGGTGCAGAAATGAGCCAAACAAGTTATTTGAGGGCTGGAAAAATACAGTGAGAGATTTCAAGAGGTCAATCTGTTTAATTGGTCAAAAAAAAGATTGAGAGGTGACTTGATTACAGTGTATAAGTACCTTCATGGGGAGAAAATACTGAGTATTGAAGGACTCTTTAGTGGAGAAATGCAAAACAAGAACCAATGGCTGGAATTCAATTCAAACTGGAAATAAGGCACAATTTCTTAGCAGTGAGGGTGATTTAACTCTTGGAACAACCTATTAAGGGAAGTAGTGGATTCTCCATCCCTTGATGTCTTCAAATCATGACCAGATGCCTTTCTGAGAAGCCAAATACAAGTTATTGGGTTCAATACTAGGGTAACTGGGTGAAATTTTATGACCTGTGTTATACAGGAGGTCCATTATGGATGATCTACCGGCTCCATCTGGCTTTAAAATCTATGACTTTATAAATCTACAATTCTAAAGGATTTTGATAAACTAGAGAAGGTTCAGAGAAGAGCCATGCCTTATATTGATATACTCAAAGAGAAGAATCTTATGTGACAAAGTCAGACCAGACAGCTATAAGAGAGTGGTGGAACACAGTCCTAGAAAGGTGAAGACCCTTTTCCCTATGAACTGCAAAAATGTTATCTCAGATTAATTAGATACGTGAGCCCAAATAAGGGCTGCTGGTGACCTTTAAAAACTCCTCTTCTGGTGAGAGAGAGGGAGGAGGGATGAGAAACAAGCTGCAGCAGGGAGAAAAGGCTTCTCCTAGGTGGAAGGCTGGTCTTTTCCCCATAGGGGAAGCAATCCAGTTTACTTCTGTTTGGGGAAGGGCTGGCAACCAGAAGCCAGTGTAATAAGTTGGCGCTCTGGGGAGGGGGAAAGCAAATGTATATCTTTTGTATTGTGAGTTTGGTTTTGCTCGAAAGAACCACTCAGGCCTATCCCGAAGCCCACCTTGTAAATACTGAAAAATAAACCAAAGCAAATAATTAAAAATATCCAAAGTAGGACTGATTTACTCCAGGTCCACTCCCCAACTATTGGAGGGAGAAACAACACTGCGGGTGACAAGGTGAAGGAGGTTTTGCCACATTATTTAGATTAACAAAGAGAAGATTAAGAGGTGACTTGATCACAGTCTGTAAGTACCTACATGGGAAACAAATATTTAATAATGGGCTTGTCATACAGGGAGAGAAACAGTAGCTCTTTGGATGGCAGACACCTAAATGTATTTAAAGACATTTTACATAGTCACATGCAAAAGCCTGCAGGATTGACTCTAGAACAGCATTTCTCAAACTTTAGCAACCCAAGGATCCACATTTTGTTTTAAAAATTTTCACAGACCCCTAAATCCCCCACTCAGCACCAGGCCCCACCCCCACTCCACCCCTTACCCCAAGGCCACACCCCTGACATGCCTCTTCCCACCCCTCCCCTGAGTGTGCCCCATCCCTGCTCCTCCTCCTCCCTCCCAGCGCCTCCTGCGCGTCACGGAACAGCTGTTCCCCGGAGTTCAGGAGGCACTGGGAGGGAGGGGGAGGAGTTGATCAGCAGGGCCAGTGACCCCAGACATGACTCTCAGACCCCCTGGAGTACCCTCGCGGACCCCCAGGGGTCCACAGACCACAATTTGAGAAACCCTGCTCTAGAATCCACCATACTCTCCCTGAGCAACTTCCACCAACACAAAGGAGCAGTGAAAGCCCATGGATCTGGACCCTATGGAATTCTCACAGTACATCAGGAATCCCTATGTGATGTATGGGGCTAATGTAGTAACTCTATGCCAACCCATCTGTAGCCCCGGATGGATGGGGTACAACCCAGGGAAAAGTGGGTGTGGATGGACAATCTCTGAACTCTGATTATTCCTGTCTGCCTAAGTAGCCTCTTGGGAATGTGAGTAGTTAGACATAAGTTAGGGTGGTCCTGAGAATGCTGTAAATGTAGATCTGGAGTCTACCTGGCCCAGGTCAGAGAACAAAGGACCATGTTGTGCCCCCTTACCAATCTTCTGATGAGCACTGCTCAGCCAGACACAAGAATAGGGGTTCTATCTGATAGATTAAACTTTCTCTCTCAGAAAAAGTTATCCTTCAGGGCATAGGACCCATCCAAGTAACAAAGGGGCTGGGGGGACATGGAAAGACTCCTTTGGCCATGAAGTCTTAGCTCCCTTCATGTTCTTTGCTGCAGGCACCCATAGTGTCAACAAGAACGACTGTGGGCTAGCCAAGTTTTAGAATGAACAGCTTGATCATGTGACGTCTGTGACCTTCAGTTAAAGAGACTGATCCTGAAAACTCTCCTCTCACTTCTGTTGAAGTGCTTTAGAAAGAGAAGTAGAGATCTGTATTCACATGACTTGTACAATTTGGCCCAAAGTACTAGAAAGTGACAGTTTTGTTGGCAATAAACTATTGCAAACAGTTTTATAACTAATCTCAGGCAAGAACAACATTTCCTAGAGTCTGTTTTTATAGCTTTTCCCTGACTTGGCATATAGTAAGCAGATTGTTCCCTCCTTTTCTTATGCGTTTTTAATCTGGCTATTTATAAAGCAATTAACTTTTAGGAATGACCTTTACACTAACATTAAAACCTGTTTGCCCTAGGTTTTGAAAAACCACATTTTCATCTTTTGAAAAATGAATTAAATGCCTTGAAAATATTGCGAACATAACCAAAAAGGAGATCAGCACTATAATATGAAGAGTGTTGGCTGTCATACGGTATATGAAAGATGGAAGGAATACAGTCCTGAGATTCAGACAACCGATAGTCAGATGGTGATAGTGTAAAGCTACTCAGGAAAATATGCCAGGATAAAAGAACATTATTTTTATGCTTTCCTGACACAGTGAGTCTTTGCTGTAAACTATTCCCATTGATTCTTTTTACCAGAATAAACAAACACAGCATACTTTATTTTTACAAATCAAATACCTGCCAAAATTAGCTAAGAGTTGGATTCCTTGGCAGTTTCATTTATCCAGTTCTCCTAAGCTGAGACTGACAAATTTGAATCAATGACTCGTCATGGAGCTGCATTTCTGACCTTACTTTCGCTGTTTTCTTGTTTCTAGGGAAACCCACAAAGCTAAAGAAAGAAAATATCTGTTTTAACCTTTCTTTTCACATTTAGTGTAACAGTTAACATTAGATATAGAAATGAAGGAGCAAATGTAATTCAGAATTACAATCATATTAACCACAACAGCAGAAACAATTAATTGAAAGAACAAAGCGAATTGCAACTCTGCACTGATTTCCCCACGCAGCTTTGCACTTTAGCAAGCTATTTCATATAAATAATCCATGCAGATACCTTGAGTGCTGTACCTTCATTGTATTTTCTTTAGCTTCTTTGGTAATCCAAAATTAATTTCTTCAAAGAAGACAATGGAGCTAAACCTTGCCTTCCATCCACCTTTAAAGAAATAGACAAACAGTCAAGCAAGCTTAGGTTTTCTCCAAAGTAAAATATATACACAAGGGCTCCAAAATGCATATTTCTATTATACGTAATACAATGTCACAGCAAGTAATGGAAACATTTAATCAGGCTTAATGGCACAGTGACCATATGAAATCAGAGAAGGATTATAATCAACCACAGAAAAAGCAGAATTTAATTAAACTGCAATGTTGTTATTGCTTGTGCACTTCGCTGACACTAAGGACTAGTTTATACCTTCGGACCCAGCCCCGAGCAAGAGGCAGTGCATACACAATATCCACCCCAGGAATGGCTCCAGGACACACAGTGCCATTTCTTGTTCCACAGATGGGTAAGTAAGCTATAGCAGCCCTTGAAGAAGGCACAGCTTTGTTTCTGCTCACGTCTGGCCCACTACTCAGGCCAGGAAGTAGGAGGAGGCAGAGCCATGGTTCTGTCCACTTCCTACTTCTCTCTGCGCAATCTCCCCCTCCCCCCGCTTGCTCGCAGTGGGGAGTACTTGGAGAGCCACGTCTGTGCTTCATGGCAGACCAGAGACCATATTCCCCCTCACTTCCCAGCTTGGCTAAGTAGGACAAGGACGTAATTGTGCCCTAATTGATTGTCTCCCAACACCTCTATGAGGTTATTATGGTAAATATTATCTCTGTTTTACAGATATGGAAACTGAAACACAGAGTTTAAGTGGAATACTCTAGATCACACAATACAGGATAAGGGGTCGCTGAGAGATTAATGAATGCCTCTGCTCCACTCCTTGATGCTTCAGTTTAGCATAACATGTTTTAATAGTGCACTGGGAAGAAAATCATTTGGATTCAGCAACACACTTAGTTTGTAGATCAAGGTTACGGGCTTTGGCCAGCCACGTAGCTGTCCCCACAACTCACTTAAGTATGGGCTGAAATGCGTATAAGGTGGGTTTGGAGGGGAACCTTAGAACTGACAGAGCTGATTAGTCCAGAAAAGAGGTTAGCAAGCAGATAGCAATGTGCACTGGGAAGATGATGAGAGGCAATCATTAGGCACAAAGGATGAACTCCCTAATCTCTCTCATAAGGCTGGAGTGTATAACTCTGATGTGGGTGCAATGTACATCCCTCGATGCTTGAAACTGTTTGTGGTTAACCCATTGGGGTATAAAGAGTGACTGTCCAAGTTAATCTCTGGCAACCCTAATGGCAGGAATCCAGTGAGGTACAGGGACACTAGCTGGGGCAATTTAACTCACTCCAGTCCCTTGTATAAGACTGACAGGGACCAAAGCCAGAACCAGCAGTGAGGATTGAGACAAGGTGTTGGATTTCAACTTCCAGCATAGACTGACGCATCCATCAACAGTGCCATAATTCTGAGTATGAGGAAGAGGCAAGAGTATGCGATTTTGGTATGAAGCCAAATCCTGATGGCTGGCTGTGTGAAGAGAGGTTATGGGTGGTCTCTGTCCCATGAGTGAAGGACCATTATTGCAAGCTGCTAAGTATGGAATACGGAATACTGCATGGGACACATTTGCTGCTGGGTAACTACAGCAGTGATGTTAAATGTCAAATATTCACAGTTCATAAGGTTCGATTGATTTAATTAATAAAGTTGAGGCTACGCATAATTATCTGCATGGTAGCTTACCACTTCATGTCCTGTCTCTACTCCTACACAGATGCATAAAGGGGCAAAGATCTTTCACATTCCCATCTGCTGATTTTGAGTGCTACCTTATCTTTTCCCCCTTGTGGATCTGAAAAGGAGTGGTATTAATCATCAAATAATTTCCCTCTTTGACCTAAATTTATTCTTCATTTGGGATGAAATATGACCACACTCTGACATGAAAATCAAGGTCAGAGAACTGCATGCAGTTGATCAGCCAATGTTTTCATGCAGATAGCAATATTTGAAAAGGAAAAATGGAAAAAACCTCTCTCTCTCTCTCTCAACCTGTATAAGTAGCAATATGTGTTACACATGCTTGATCCCGTTTCCTTCTGTTTGGAAGATACCAGAAGCATAAATTGTATCACAGTAATGTAATCAGGAAGCTTAACATTAAGTTTCAGTATGCATCTCCTGAGAAAACCATTACAGTGTTTATATAGGGAAAATCCAATTTAAATAGAAATATAGAAAACGAAAAATGAAAATATAAATAATCAATGCAAGTGCTTTTTAAAGTTAACAGATGGCTCTTTTTAGAGACTGAAGGCCTCAGGTTAGAGATTGTGATGCACTATCTCTTCCATACTCCTCATCAAAATATATCGCATCTCCCTTGATAGCCACTATTTCTGCAGAACAGAAAAGACCATTCAAATCTTCTTTACCCCCAACAGAGTAACGTTATTGTCAGCAAACAATACTAAAATATCAACCAGGGCTTGATGGGGAGAACATACTGAAAAAATAAACTTTCCATTTCACATATGAGAAAATTTTAAATATATTTTTTAAACAATTATGATTTTCTTCTCTGTTTCCTCATGTCTCATTGCAGCACTGACAGCAACTAGCTAAAGTGATAGGATTCCCAGCAGATGTAGAACAACGTGACAAATTGTAGTCTGGCTTATTTCTCGCTTTCGTATACATGCATCTGTGATCATCAAGCTAACCAAGCACTCCAAAGTTTTAATCCCAAAACAGCTTTTGAAATTGCGGCACCAGACAGCAGAGCAAAAGGTCACATCACTAAGCCATTTTAGCCCAAAACCTGGAAGGAAACAGTCATAACCCATTAACCCTGAACTCTGCACCCCATTCCTTCTCTTGATTTAAAAAATTGCTGAGGACTTTGGATTTCCAGCTTATGCCCAATTATCCTTGCAAATCTTTTGTCTCTTCTCAAGTTCAATACTATGGAATTTATTAAGAATGACACCAGACAGCTTCCAGTGTGCTGTCAATGCACTGAAATGCTTACATGTGTTTTGGAGAAGTTACACATTCTTTATTTGCTCCAAATATGTGAGCCGTTGTCTTTTGTGGGGGAAATGTGTGTTCCTTTAAATGAGGGACATCCCCATCTACCATCATTAATATGTAAATGATTTAAGCACATAGCTGCTATTTCAATTATTCAAATAGTATGAACTCTTGCGTTTATGTATATCCCAATGTATGGGTGAGTGTCTCTCTCTCTCTTACTCTGACAGATTTTGATAGGTATTCAGCACTTCTGAGTGTTTGCTCTACACTCTACATACAAAACAATTTTTACATAAGGGAAATGTACACAACTCCTCCCACTCTCATCTATCTATCTATATCTATCTATCTATCTATCTAAAAGAGAGAAATTAACAAATGAACATAAGCCAGATCCTGTGAATACTTATTCATGTAACTAGACTTGATGCAAACAGTTTAATTCCAGCCTGAGTAAGGGGTTTTCAAGATCACATCTTTTATCAACAGAGTTTATGGCCCAATCCTTCTCCTATTGAAGTTAATGGGAAAATATCTATCAAGTCAATAGGTGTCGGACTAGTTCCTTTATTCATCTCTGCATGCAGTATCTGGGATGTTGGCTGGAGCTGTTTGGAAACAAAGGGAAGTGGGGAGTTCACAATTCCACTTTTCACCAACTTCCTGCTGAAACTTAGTTGCAGTGGAATTTTTCTGACCAGCTCTGAAGCTTACAGTCTTATTAAAAAATAACAAAAACTTGGATGAACAAACAAACAGCCATTTCTTAAAACCAGCTAAAAAAAAAGATGAAAATATGGGGAAAGTACTTTCTCTCAAGTCTTTTATATTCAACGGGATCATGAAATCATTCCTATCAGGGCTTTAGCAAAAGTGTGTGCTTTTTTGTTAGCTGTTCAGCAGCTGTGAGGAACAATCTACTACATAGTACAAAAGTCCTTTTAGTATGTGAAAGAGAGCAGCGGTGAGGGGAACTTAGCATCCAACAGCCTCAGGCCATGTGCTCTACTCATTTCCCATTCTCAAGGCAGAGTTAATTTCACAGCCAAACATTTTAGCAGGATCCTGAGCACAAACAAAACATCCTTTGTACTTGGAGGGAAGGAAAGCAATACAAGCTGAATTTCTGAAGCAGGGTCCTTTCCCCCCTCCTAAATGTAAAATGCAGCCAATACAGTACTAGACACTCTCAGAGAGCTGGTTGACAGTCTCAACAAAGCAGGTAGCAAAAATGATCTGGCTTTTCAGGGTGACACACAAAGAAGAGAGCTGGGATCCTTTTAAAGAAATGAAATGGTTTCTTTGTAAAACAGAAGATGTCAAGAAGGTTCACAAGAGAGAACAATTTTAACTCTGTTTCATTTAGCTGGCATACACTTGAGAATTATTTCATTGTGGAGCAGCGTCACTCTGAAATTCCAAATGGAAGTACAATTCAGAGGTGTCTACATTAAATTATTTTCCTTAAAATTTCCCATCGATGTTACAATTGCTACAGCTCCCTCAATGGAGTAACAATAATTTAAGTGCTAGATAGAAAAGGGTGCCTGCATTTTAATCACTGGTTTGTCTAACCTTGCTCAGAGCAGGGTTTCCCATAGGAGGAAACTATCTAGCCCTCTACTGGTATTGCATTTAACTTTCTGTAGTTTGGTATCTCATCGGAACTCAGTGTAGCCATTTGTGCAATAATTTAGTGGACTTACCTTTGCCTCACAAAAAACATCCTTTCTTGGTCAAATATACCCAAACAATATCTCCTTCCCTTAAGTCAAGTTCACACCTGAGGTGAATTTTAGGATCATCTTCCAAGGACATATAATTGTAGACTGCAACAAACTAAAATAATGTGTCATAACACTAGGACTCTTCAGTTAATGGCACCTTTGTAATTAGTACCATGTCCCACATGAACAGCCACACAACGTCTTAGCTTTCAAAGCTCTATCTGCTGCAGGGCAAGCCAAGGGCCTAATCCAATGATTTACCAGCCCTTAACATTAATCAGGGAGTGTATGCCTATATATATATATATATATATTATTCCT